ATGCAGAAGATTTCTCTCAAAGCAGGGGGGTGAGGTTCTAAGCCTCACCTCTGTTGATCCCCAGTTTCTCACCTGATGGCCCCCCTGTGACTGTGCCTGTCTTAGGTTGTTCCCCCCTTGAGGAATCTTACCCGTCTCTGGCTAACCAGTCATCTTCCGGGGCCATACAGGGAGATGTAAAGTTGGTAAGAGAGAAGCAATATTGTTTGAAAAGGTTAGCTTTTTACTTCTTTGCAGTAATCTCCGTTTTCTGAGGATTAAATGCCAGTCACGGTTTCTGCCATGAGATCCTGAACATTAGCAGCATTTCCGAGATGAATTTCAGTGTGGAAGGAGTGACTCGGTTCCTGCTCCAATGAGAGAGACAGAGATAGAGACAAGATAAAGAGGCAGATCAAAAGGCGAGGGAGAGCTGCAGAGAACGTGTTAGTAAAAACAGGTGGAGGGTGAGCACGCTAAATGGCGTGTGGAAAGTGCCATGTTCACGGAGGGAGGACTCGGCACTCTTTGAGCACCTGTCCAATGCCGGATGTCTTAAAAGAATATGTGAGGGAGAGGTGACAACTGGTTGAGAGGGAAGGAGAAAACCAGGAAGGCTTCCTGGAGAAGGGAGCGTTTGAGATGAGCCTTGAAGGATTACTGGGATTTCAGTAGCCTGGGTGCCCAACACTGATCTTTTTAAAAATAGATTCATCTAGGAAGAATTACCAGAGGATTAAAAATCATGCTGAGTTCAATCAGAAATCACCCCTGGAATGTGGAAGGAACTTTCTTAATTAAGCAATTCCAGAACATTCCCAACTCTTGGCTACGTGAGTAGTGGCAGGGAACCATTATATCCTAGGCAGGCTCCACAGACAGTTGCCAGGATGGCCTGGAAAAGGGCATGTCAGGGCTGACATGAAGCACCATGCCTGGTGTCCTGTGCCCCAGGTGAGTGGGTATTGGCAAGCATCCCTCATGAGACCCAAGTACCCAAGAAGCGAGGTGCTTTAGAATAGACCGGCTTGTCCTGCGGGTGTTAAAGCAAAGGGTAAAGAATGTTCCATGCAGTTTTGTTTCATTTCAGTTCATGCTTGGAAACTGGATAGACTGGGTAGCTGTGCCCCTTCCTCTCAAGCCCTAATCAGACCCCAATGGGCACTCACAGCTCTGCCTTCAGCAGCTCAGCTTCCAGTGCATCACCATCTGTCCCATATAAAGAGTCGCATGTGAAGGAAAGGTTGCAACTTGGAGACGGGATAGGTGTCTTTTCCCAATGCCTATAATTATGCTCATTTTACGTTGATGACAGGCAAGGCCTTTGTCCAGCAGCCTGGGACCTAGCTTTAAGAATTCAGGGCCAAGAATGGAGGGGGACCCCCGAGGACCACCTGGTGGGCTCACCCCGAGCCACATACCACCAGCAGGGACAGTTCCCAGGGTAGCCAGAGTCCTGAGCGTGGACACTTTTATCTTCTACACTCTGTTCTCCCTGCTTCTTCAAAACCATGATCAAAGTTACCATAAAAGGTGGAAAGAGGAGTGGGCAGGCAAAGGAGGAAGAAAAGGAGAAGGAGACAGGAAACGATTCAAAAAAAACCCCAGCCTCACACAGAACTCGATAACCTGGAGTGCCCAGTGATCGGCGCCAGATGGCATACAAAAGCCAAAAGGCAGGTCCCCGGACGGGTCAACTTAAGACTTAATATTTGCCTTTCACTAAGCAAACTAATACATCCCCTGCAGTTGTAGCCACGCAGAGCTCCCAGTTTTTATTTATTGGTCAAAACTGCAGGCAAGATTTTTTTCCCCCTCGTCACTCCGGGCAAATAGCAGTCCCCCTTCCCTCCTCCTGTCGTCCGTCTGTATGTCTATTTGCCTTCGCCCTCAACAAACTTATGTTCAGTGCGACTGACAAGGAGTGCAAACAGCTTTGAAGTATTCTTTGGTAATGGACTTCCCGGGACAGCCCTGCTTCGGCTCGTGGAGCTGAAGGCCGAGGGAGCAAAAACTACCTGTCAGAGAACAGGCAGATGTCAGCCGGGTCGGGCAAGGCTCAGAGCTGGGCACATGGGAGGGCCCTATCCAACTGCAGCCCTTCCCTCTCCCATTTTATAGATGAGAAAACTGAGACCCAGAGAGAAGGCTTGAGTGACGCATGATCTTGCAGCAAGATGAAGGTGAACCAGGGCACCTTTCAGGTCTCGGCAGAGAGGGTCTCCCTTCGCCTGCTCTCTCTCCTAAGTAGAGGTGGGGGGAACCAGCCCACCAGCCCAGCAGGAAACAGTCTTGTCCAAGGTCAGTGGCCATTCCCAGGGCCACATTTATGCCCTTTAAACCATACCCTACTGAGCAGAGGGGCTTACTTCACTATTAGAAACTCCCATTTGTCTGTCAACACATAGGTTTCCAGAACTATTTGAAGAGGATGGAAGTTCCCTGTGGGCCAAATCTTAAGGCCATGGAAAAAAATCTCAGGGAAGCTTGAACAAAATCTTGGCAGGCGGGCACTACTTTGAGATTATGTTCATAATAAAATGAAGCAAGAGGAATACGTTCAGGTGGATGAAATACCTTTACATTGTACCCTGGCCGTGTCTAATGTGGTATTTGCACAGGGAACAAAAACAGCACATCGTGAAGTCATGAACAGTACGTAATATGACAGCATTGTCGATGTCAGAGCTAGAAGCGGCTTAGGGATGGTGTGGCCCGACTCCATTTTACAGGAAGGAACTAAGGTGAGGGGCTTTCTGAGATGAAAATTCAGGTCTCCTTGTCTCCCCACTCTGCGCTTATCAGCATGACATACGGTTATGAGATCGATTCAGAAATAAGAGACTGATACGTGTGGAGGCGGGGCAAAACATATTTGGCTCAAAATCTCATTAAGAAATGGACATCTGCAGTCACTTGGAAGCCCATGAATTACTCTTTAAAGTCCTACCACCTCCCCACCAGGTTGAATATCATTCAATCTTCCCTCACCGTCCTGTTCCACTCTGCCAGAAAGGCTGCCTCTCCCAGAATCAGACGATCCCTCACCCTGTGCTGGAAAGCGGATTCCTGCCCTGGTCCGAGGTGGAAGAGATGCGAGTGAGGCTTTAGACCACTCTGGGACTCCGGGCTCCACCTGGGCAAGAAGGTAAGAAGAGAAAGAGCCGACTGCTGCCTTTGGGGCAGCAGGACTTCTGGAACCAAAGACTACTTGCAGGGCATACATGAAGGAAATGTCTGAAATGAATTTCGCTTTTTAGAAAAAGAAAAAAATGGCACCTAAAGAGCGGGGCTAACGTTCCTTCCATGGCAGTGGGTGCAGTGAGATCTGGCGCACAGGGTTCTCAATCTTTACACGTGAGTAACGACAGAATCATTCCTGGATGCTTACAGCATCATCTCTACATCAGCAAGCAATGGCCTCCCTGTGGTCACACCGTGCAAAATGAGCGGAATTAGCTGAGAGCTCGGATTCTAGCACTGCAGGTATGCACGCCTGTCTTTCAGCGGAAAAGATGGAAGGGCCTGACCCCCTAGCAAGAAACAACAGATTCAGGATGGTGTGCACGGAAAGCCTGGCTTGGACTAACCTGAAAAGAACCTGTAATTTGCCTTCAGTTCGTTCTCGCCTGTCATGAACACCAAAACGTGGGCTGGTACAGCCTTCCCCTCCTCCACCCCCCACAACCACCACCAAGTTTCCACTCGCTTATCCCAGATAAAGTGAGTGTCTAGAAAGGTAGGAGTGAGCTTCCAGGTCCCATTCCACGCCATCTGAATTGAACTCAAAGGTTACCTAGGAGACTTTAGAGAGAAAGTACACATTTAGGCCCAATTTACATGCCCTTAATATTTAAAGGATCCTAGAGTTCAAAGGAAGTTCAGGAAGTCCTCTAGCCAACTCCTTTGCTCTCCAGAAAACACCATCCCAAAGATTTTAGCTCAGGTGTGTATGTAGCAAAGACGTGGAATTTTCTTCCTGGCTCATTATTCTATGTCGTACATCCATCCATGTATGATACACAAACACACCCATCATAGGCTGCTCTCCAGTAGCTGTGCTAGTTTTGTTTCTTCGTGAACTCTTTTGCTCTTAATTAGAAAGGTTAGCTTCACTTTTTTTTTTTTTAGCTTCACTTTTTTAAGTTTAATTGTATTGGGGAGGAATCCCTAATACCTCGTACTTTCGAAGGAAGTGATCTCAGCTGCTACTTTATTCCCAGGATCTTATTTAACATCATGCAGCCCTTCCACCCTGGAAACATTTAATTTGGTCAAGATTAGTGCCCAATACAATGGCTTGCATATGTGGGCTGCCTGATGGTCAGGGGTATGGTCAGACACAGGGATTCTGAATGGTGACTGGCCAATGACTCAAGAGCATGAGCTGGTTACAGCAGGCTAAGCGGAAGCACAGGAGGGGTCATCAAGTCACCCAGTAGGGTGACCAGTTGTTCTGGTTTGCCCAGGACTGTCCCAGGTTTAGCACTGTTAAGTCCTTTCTCAGGAAACCTCTCAACCCTCAGCAAGGTGGGACAGCTGGTCACCCTCAGCTCATCACCACAGCAAATTCTAGATTCAGATTCACGTGCTGTGAGCAGAAGCTCCAGATGACCACGGTGTGATAGTTTCTGCTATTCCTGGAAACTCTATAGCAACTGGGTATCTTGAAGGACTTTGGGCTTCTAGAAAGGCCCTCCTCAGGCAGCTGCTGACGAGCATGTTTCCTGTTGACCTTATTTCCAATGCATAAACCAGCGTTTATGGAGGTAATATTAGTGGGTCTCTCTTCTTCAAAACCTGACGGAATCTAAGTAGTACAACAAGGCTCTCTGCACGTCAAGAAAGGAAGGTGAAAGCCCACGAGCAAGACTCACATTCCAACAGCACAAAACATCCTCAAGCAGTTCCCCTCGCTCACTTTGTGGTGAATCTGAGATGCCAGGGAGGACCTCATCGTTCCACTTAGAAGACGCCAAAGTCACTAAATGCTCACAGACACACACCATCTACAACAAAGGGAAGATATACAGGTATAGCTTTAATTCTTTTTACAAAGCAAGCCCTCTATTCATTCCCATTGGAAGCAGGAAGTACAAACATCTTTCGTTCTGCTTGTTGGATAAAGTTGAACTATCACCAATATCTAGGAAGTGTTTCCAGCCGTGTGTATGATGGCTACAGAGGGAAGGAGACAACCAGGACTTCTGTTTTGCAGGCCCAACCTGCTGTCAGGAAGGCACGTCATTGGCACACACTGGAGGAACAGGGTCCTCAAGACACACCAGCAACTCTGAGAGTCAGACAGTCTGTAACGAAGCGCCATGTTCTGGCGTGGACCCCAACTGCCACCTGAGCGAAGGTCTTCACAGCTGGTTGTGCATCTGAATCAAAAGATCGAGTCAACAACGTTATCCTTTTTTTTTTTCTGCTCTTCCCGACAGACACCTGGGTGTGATCCGAACAAAGAAAGCTGACCATGGAGAGCACCAGCCTTCACCAGCCAGCAGCCCTGCTGAAGCCCCCTCCATCTGAGAGCCTGAAGAGCTTCTGCACTGCAACACCCCAGAACCTGTGAGGCCAGACCCCAAATGAGTGAGAGGGGGTACTACTCCACGGCTGCTTGCATGGCAATGCACAAACACTGGCCATGTTAGGAGGACAAGGAACAAAAAGTAAGATCCCATTTGACTGAAGTGTAGTTAACTATTCACTCTGTATCCGGCTGGAAGATAATGGAGCAAACAAGAACTGTTGAGTCTAAAGGCACAGCAGAGGTGGGAGGTAGGGGCGAGAAGGGTGTGCTAGAAAGCCCTTGGGCTCCGGGGACTGCGGTGGGGGAGTCTTCAGAGCAGGCGGCAGCAGAGGAAACGTTTTCCATAAGACAGAAGTCTGGAATAATGGTGTCTTCTCCAACTGTAGGTCACCTCCAGCTCTTGCAGGTCAACACACAGCCCACTCCTCGGGGCAGGCAGTCTTTGCTTCCTCCTCAAATGTCTTCTCCAATCCGGAAGATTCTTTATTCTCCAGAATAAAAATTCTCAATCCAAACCAAAGCTCTTGTCTCTTAAGAGATGGTCATATTTCAGCCAGGTCCTTCGGCGGGGGTGGTGCTGGTGGCACCCCTTGGCCCCACCAAGCTTCCTGGTGGGAAATGTGGGCAAAGAAGAACAGCCCTTAGCTGTCCTCCTTTCCAGGCCTGTGGACCAAAATACAGCAAGAGTTAGATTCTGGCTTCCGTGCTTTCAGAAATGAACATCAGTTTCCTGTCTTTAGCCGACAATGTTCCAGTGACTGAATAGAACATACACTGCTTCTATAAGCAGTGTTAGTTAAGAGAAGAAAAGGGGGGCCTATTTATACATTTAAGGAACTCCCCATATACTGAATCATCACCGGGAACCCTCCACAGAAATCTCACCATTATACCCACAGATGATGGTTTTAAAAAGACCGCTAAATACAACCAGTCCAGACGAAGAGGAAAATTCTGCTTTCAGCATGTCACGATTTTGTCTGTGAGATAAGGGAGCATGGAGGTGTTAGGCCACCCCCCTTACGGAGGAGAAAATTGAGGTACAGAGTGTGCCAGTGTTCGCAGTAGAGGATGACAAGGGTCTGGTCCTCAGGCCTGATGTTCACTTTAGCTGGAACCTCTCTGTGCTTTCACAAGTCCCTTGACAATTAATTAGGAAATTATCCACTGGTGGACGGGGGCTCCTCAGAAGATGCAGTTTAACACATTACTCTTTCCCTAATGCTGATAGCAAATAAATGAAGATGGACTTGGACCCATACTTTCCCTGCTTCCCACCAGCCCCGTAAAATCCCCCCTTTCTCAGTCACAAATACAGTTAGTACCACTAAATGCCCTCCAGGGACTTCCCCATTTTAAAACTGATGAGGCCCAACCATGAAAGCAGAGGCCTGCTCAGAGGCGAGTCATCTGGGCCTCAGGACGGAGGCAGCTCACTGGGTCGCTGATTCCCACAATCCCCGTCTGCCCAGAAGGAATAACTTGGGCAACTGCAAATCCATACCCCCACAGGTACCACACTGGATTAGACACTGTGGAAGCAGGCACACATCAGACAAGCAAACCCACCCCCGTAGGCCAGGCAGACAGGTAACACTGAGCCAGCACAAGGCCAGCCCAGCTCCCCGGAGAGCCTCTGGAGGAAGTCTGGGGCCCACAAGTGCCCTTCTGTCCTTCCACAGACCTGGGAGGGCTGTGGCCCAGCTCCTGCTGCAAGGAACTCACTTGCCTGCAGGCTTTGGCTAAACCCCTGGCTGGGTGTGTGCAGCCGCCCTGAAGCCCAGAGACAAGGGTGCTAAGTGGCAGGATGCCCCAGGGAGGGCAGGGGGTGGACGGAGCAGGGAGGGTGAAGATGGTTACAGACTCCCTCGGCAGGAGGAGTGCAGAAGGGGAGAGAGTCTGCACCTTAGAGCCACCTCCGCAGAAAGAGCCAGCCCAGTGCTGACACAGAGGCACTGGACCCACCAGGCGACTGATTGGAGGCCAAGAGGGAAACTCCAATGGTCTCACCCAGGTGTCTCCTGGGCCCTCTGGACACTTTCACTTGGACCCCCAAACTCCCCAAACAGTCCCAGAGTTCTGCTAACCTTTCTCTCGTTTCCTTCCCCCTCCTGGGCAGCAGCCCTCTGAGCTGCCTCAGGAGAAGCCCTTCCCCAGGGAGACGCACGCAGCTAGCAAATTAATTGGCAGCAGCCTGGTGAATCACACGGGGACTTCCTTCTTGTTGCCCGGCAACCACATGCACTTGGCAGTGGGACATTAAACACAGAGGGGAATGTTGGGAGGCATTTGCAAAATAAAATAAAAAGCAAAACATACAACACCCCAGACTCATCCCAGCATGGCAGACCCAGCCAAGCGGGGCAGGGGTGGAGATGAGGGAAGAACAGGGCAGGACAATGAGGTCAGGTCCCAAGCAGGCTAAGCAGAGCCCAACGCCCCCCTACCACCAATCAGACTCTTCTAGGTGTATGTGGCCAAAGACACGCCTCCATTGGCCTAGAGAAAGGCAGTAGGGGGACCCGGATTAGCAGGCACCTAGAGATTTGCAGATTACCTAGGAACACACGGGCTAGCGGGATTATGAAGTTTACTGCAGGACTACCCTATCTGCTGTTTACACTTCCCCACTAGGTTCTGCTGAGGGCAGGGTCCCCTCCCCACAACCCTTTCCACTTGGATGTTTTTATGCCTGTTGCCATGGCCACTGGGAGCTGATTAGACAGGCCTCCAGCACACAGCCTTGCCCTTCAGACCCTGTCTCTGGCCTCTCTGAAAAGTCCCAGAACAGAGTAAAATGTATGGCTGCTCTACATTTGGAGGAGCCCACAGGAGAAAAACCGGGGATGAGGAGGGGAAGAAAGTAGCGAGAGGGCCCCTATGGTGGGCTATTAGCCCCCAGAGACACTCACAGCCTAATCCAGCAACCAATGAATGTAGCTTCTCTAGCAAAACGGACCACACAGATGTGAATAAGTTAAGGATCCTGAGAGGCACAGATTATCCTGGATTCCCCGGGTGGGCCCCAAATGCAATCCAAGTATCCTTCTAAGATGGAGATCTGACACAGAAGAGGGAACGGAGATGGAGAAGCAAGAGGCTGGAGAGATTCCAGGAAGGAATCAGGAGGCAAAGAAAGCAGGTGGTCCCTAGAAGCTAGAAAAGGAGAGGAAATGGATCCTTTCTCAGGGCTTCTAGAAGGAACTTGCCCTGTGGTACCTAGACTTTACCCCAGTGACCTGGCTGCCAAAGGGAATAAATCTGTGTTGTTTTAAGCCTCCAAATTTGTGGTGGTTTTACGACACCATAGGAAACTAATCTTGTCCATCAGGGCATGCTGTGTCTCTCTGTCCCCACAAGTCTATAAATGAGAGTATCACAGTAGGATACGGGTACCAGCGGAATGGAGCTAGTCAGAGGGGCTGATCCAGGAAGACTAACAGCTACCCGATGGGCTCCGAGGGAAAATGCCGGGTCTCCAAGAGCAGCAGAGGTAAGCAGCAGCCTCTACACCATTGGGGATTGTCACTTGGTGGCAGGTGGCTTCATCTCTGAAAGCCTCAGTTTTGTCACCTGCAAAATAGAGACTATTATCTATCTTGCAAAGCTTTTAGGATTAAATGAGATGCTGTATGAGAAACAGATAGCCATGGCAGATGCTAAATGAATGACAAATTAGGCATGAACGTACAGGCAGAGGCTATTTGTTGCCTACCCTACGATTTATTCTCCCCTTTCGAGTTAGTAACATAACTAATTTTTGGCTGGTGGATTGTGGCCCAGAGTAAAAACACTATGTTTCTTAGCCTCCCTTGCAACTAGCTAGAGCCATATGACTAAGGTCTGGCCAAAGAAATGTAGGTATGTGTTGTGGGACTTCTTGTTGAAAAGGTGTTTGAAGGAGCCCAAGTTTTGCTTAACTGGCTTTACTACCTTCTGCTTTCAATGAGGACATGATGGCTGGTGCTCCAGCAGCCATCCTGGACTATGACAGACGTTGAAAATGGGAGTCATGCCCTATGATGATCTACCAAGAAGACAGAAACCTGGGTCCCCAGTAACTCCAGAACTGCCACCCCAGTCTTGGATGTTCTTTCTCGGGATTTGTTATGAGAGTGAGGATGTCCCTCTGCCTTAGTTACTCAGTCATTATTCTTTCGGAGTATTCTAGTGGCCAAAATGGAGACAATCTATCACAGGCCTTAGAAAATAGGATTCAGAACCAATCTCAAGTACTGGTTCTCAAAGTGCAGCCCTGGACTGACAGCTTTAGCAGCACCTGGGAACTTGTCAGACATGCAAATTCGCAGGCCTTATCCCCAGACTGACTGAATCAAACGCTCTGGGAATGGGGTCCAGCAATCTGTGTTTCAACAAGTCCTTCGGGTGCATCTGGTACACACTCAAGTGTGAGAACCTAAAGTTCAGCTTGTGCACTAGCGACATCTGGGGTTGGATAATTCTTTGTTGGTGGTGCCAGGGACTGCCCTGGCATTGAGATGTTTAGCAGCATCCCTGGCCTCTACCCGCTAGATTCCAGTAGCACCCACCCCTCGATGCGACCATCAAAACCATCTCAGACACTGACACGTGTCCAGGGTGAGGAGGTAAGAGCAAAAGAGCTCCCGGTTGAGAAACAGCGTCTCTCAAGTAGGTAGTGGTTCATTTCTTGACCTTGGCCGCATAGTAGGATCGCCTGGGAAGCCTTTCAAAGTTCCAGCGCCTAGGCCTTGTCCCAGCCTGGTTAGATCAGAATCTACCAGGGCAGGACGAGGCAGCAGTTACAGCTCTCCACGTGACTGCAAAGTGCAGTCAGTGCTGGGAACCACCGCGTGCTGCCGAGGGCAAGACCCAAGAGGCTCCGGACAGGCACTAGGCTCGGGAACGAACATTCCAGTTGCCGGCTGGGGTGACGAGCTGAGGTGGAATTCCTAGTGCCTGTGTCACCTCATTTCCCATCAGAACAGGGTGGACACCTTTCGGTGTCTCCCATGAATAACTGCAGAAAGCCTGTTTCCTCCCCTAATAAACACAGCACACAAGGAGCCAGCTCCCACAAGGTGCTATAAACATTAGCTCGTGCCACAGAAAGAACCGTCTTAATAAAGACAGTGGTACAGGAGTGGGGCCTATTTAGAAATGGGGAGCATGAATTCTCTCTCCAATTGGTAAACTCCCCAGGCACTGGAACCAGAATCTTTCCACAAGGATGCACTCTGAGCAAGGCGAGAGTGCCCATGAATTTTTCACAGAGCCCTGGCAGGAAGCTTGGCGAGGGGGCCACAGCTGGGGCAGAGCACGAGAGAAGGAAAGAGGTCAGAGGCAGCAAGGAGGAAAGAGGGCGAGCCGGACAGGTCGATGTTCCGGCTCTTTGCGGAGAGACATGAAGTCATGTGCACATTCTCTCTCCTGCTGGGACTGTCTTTTCCCTTCATTATTTCATTCCCAGGCTGCCCTGCTGCAATGCTGAGCCAAGCTTTTCCTTGTTTCCCTTGGCCCGCATTATTGAGTCCAGGATGTCACTGGGGAGGTGGGGAGCAGCGTGGGGGAGAGAAGGGAGGAGAAGGAGGTGGGGGGCGAGAGCGCCGTGCAGCCAGGAGGAGGGGTGAGAGCAGCAGTGGGGGCGCTGGTGGGGGCCGGCCGACAAGTCATCGCAGCCCCGC